AAGCTGATTGTGCATAGATAAGATCCCTGAAGTTGCAAAGACTAAAGTCTCAAAACCAAAGAGATATTCTTTATCAAAGTTAAGACTCTGCCACGCCCCCCTAAAACGGCTCGTTCTAACACGCCCCCACATATCTACCTCACTATGTGGAAATACTAGCATAATGCCGCCCAAATGTTCATGCAAAGAAAGAAGGCGTGGTTTCAGTAACCGCAGTTAGTGTTGAAGCAGCATGTCGCGAGCTCTGGGGCTGGAGCGAGCTCTGGGGCTGGAGCCGACACTGGAGCGAGCTCTGGGGCTGGAGCCGACACTGGAGCGAGCTCTGGGGCTGGAGCCGACACTGGCTGGAGCTCTGGGCTTGCCACATTAACGTCCTTTGGGCTTGCCACATTAACGTCCTCCGGGCTTGCCACACTAACGTCCTCCGGGCTTGCCACACTAACGTCCTCGGGGCTTGCCACACTGACTGCCGGCTGACTCGACCTGGGAACGGCCGGCGGAGGGGTTCCGGATCGGGATCGGAGACTCTCCAGACACCGGATGACTGTATCCTTCCAGCCGAGGTTGGTGGTGTCTGGGAGCTCCGTGGGATGGTGGAACGTCATCCCGATCCGGAACAGCGTCGCGAGGGTTTCCCCCTCGAAGGAGCTGGCGAGGGCGAGCGGCACAAACGCCCTCGCGAAGACGACGGGGTCTGGGCTCGCTTGAGCCACTGAGATGAACATTAAACGTTCCTCCATTTGGGGACGTGGAGGAACGCACGGGAAAACACCAAAGCAAAAAACTTTCAAAAACACGGAAATTAAATACGGGGAAGGGATGCCGCTTACAGATCGGTCCGCTGTTCTGTCATGGTTGCACACACACACGAGGGACGAGGAGACGCTGGAGAATATGTTGACAAGACTTTATTTACAGGAACCAAGGGAGACGAACTCAGGAAGACGTTTACAGGAAGACGTACAACAGCGGACAGAGAACTTGGGACTGGGAACACATTTTATACACACACACAGGAGGAGGGGATGACGAGACACACCTGGGAGCAATAAGACCAAGGGAAACACCTGGGACAAATGAAATAAACTAATCAGGACAGGAACAGGAAACTAACCAAATAAGGGCATGGGAAGGCACATGGGGAGCAGGACACACACAAAACATGGAACAGAGTCTGACAGTGACCACTTGCTTGCACAGGGAGCGTGCTGGGGACTATTTTCAGGTGCTGCGTAATATCATTGCCTTAGTACACGATGTAACTACAGAAGAGTTTTAAATAGAAAAAATATAGAAACTCTTTGGTCATTTTTGAGCGAGATGCTAACGGTCTAATCAGATTCAATGATCTATGCTAAGCTACAGCTAAAAGTGCTACCGCCAGACCTGGCGATCGGCTGAATGGATTCGAAAACGGTAAAACTCAACTGTTTAACTCTAGGGGAGTTGGAAAATGAGCCTATTTTCAAAAATAGTGGAGTGTTCCTTTAATGAAAATTTAAAATGCAAACGTTTACAAATGTCATTATAGAAATAGAAAAATATGTTCAGCACAACGGAAAGTCTCAGTCATGATAGAGAAACAAATGTGCGTGTGTTAGAGAGGGAGGGAGAAGGTTCGGTACAAATCCTGGGCAGCCTGTGAAACAAAGCAGTCTTGGATGGAGGGATAAATGGAGCGAGCAGATAGAGGGGTGGAGTGGAGGAGAAGCTTTCAACCCTATGTCCTCACTGCCTGGAACAGTTCATGCACATGAGTGGCTCTGAGTGTGTGTGTGAGATCTCTATATAAATACATGTTTGATCTTTCTCTATTATACTCAGCAAGCAAAGGCTTGTGAATTTGAGAGAGAAATTGCTCGCACAATCAGATGGTTGCATGAATATAACATTTTTGGCAGTTTTCGACTAAAGCTAATCACAACGGTGATTTCCTAACAGGTGTCGGTCACACACCAGTCATGGACCTCTGAGCTTTCAGTGGCCTTTTATTCTGTGGGTTACAGTCGGATGTAAATTAGTGTGTAAAGAGAATTCAGGTGAGATGAGACTAATGTAGATCAGAGTTTTCTGTGTGAGAAGAAGAGGGTTTCTCATGCTGGAATGAGGAAATTGATTATTATTATTATTATTATTATTATTATTATTATCGTCATTGTTATGTTCATTTGTCCAACTGTTTATAGAAAGCAAGCACTCGTTTTACATAAATATGAATGTGAATTATAAATAATACCTATATTTTCTATTAAATTTATAATTATATTATATTATTATATATTATATTATATTATTGTAAATAATATTTTATTACTATAAATATTAATATTAATGTTTTAGAAAATAGTTAACATTAAAATACTAATCTAAAATACATACGTTTTACAAACGTTTGGTAAGAGTTATTTTAGTATTATTTCTGTACTGTTATAGTATTCAGTAATAATTTGAATTAGCTTTTATTTTAATTTATATATTTTCCATTTCCTTTTTAGTATTAGTAATTGTATGTGCTTTTGTCTTTTTATTAGTTTTTAAATAGATTTTAAATAGTTAAAATTAAATATATACATTTTTCAGAGCTGTAGTCAGTGTTATTTTAGTATTATTTATATACTGTTATAGCATTATTATTATAACATATTAGTATTTTTAATTAGATTTTATATTTTCAGTTTTCATTTAGATTTTTTGTTATGCATGTTTGTACATAACTGTCTTTTGAGATTTTTTATTTCAGCTTTAGTTTTAGCAATTTTAGTATTTCAACATATTTGCATTTTAAATACATTTTTTAACCATCTTTTAAAATTTCAATATTATCATGTTCAGAATTATTGGAAAAAGTGTGATATCGTGATAAAACAAGACTAATATTTTATCTTTAAAATTGGAGTTTAATGTTTTACTCAGTATCTAAGCCTCTTTGTAAAGTTACCTTTTGGATAATTTTTAATTGAACTGCATTGATCACAGAATCTGCCGTTCATTTCCTTACATTAGCACAGATCTGTATGTAAAGCTATGATATTGTATGTATCTGTTAACAGACACATATTGTTTTACCTGAGCTTAGTGTTGGACAAATAGGTCTTTTGTGTGCATGTGATTTCACAGATACAGTGGGTACGGAAAGTATTCAGACCCCCTTAAAATATATGAGTGTCACAGCAAAGGGTCTGAATACTTAGGACCATGTGATATTTCAGTTTTTCTTTTTTAATAAATCTGCAAAAATGTCAACAATTCTGTGTTTTTCTGTCAATATGGGGTGCTGTGTGTACATTAATGAGAAAAAAAAAATAACTTAAATGATTTTAGCAAATGGCTGCAATATAACAAAGAGTGAAAAATTTAAGGGGGTCTGAATACTTTCCGTACCCACTGTATATAAAGCTATGTATAGTCACCATGGCTATGAAAACTAATCTCGTATACATGATGATCAATGTCCAGAGGAAATAAAATGATGCCAAGGCCCTTAATAAACATCACTGAACGGCAAACTCTTAGTTATGCTTTAGTCAATATACAGTACAGTACAGAGGCACTTACAGTACTTGAGCATTAATTGTAACTTCTTAATTATATCATTTTCACAAAAAGGGTTATTTTATTATAATACATTTTATTTGTAAAAATCCTACAGAAAAAAATTATTTAGGTATTACATTTTATATATTATATCTGTATTTTATTGTAAATCTAAATTCTCTTGGTGCAAGTCCAAGTCTAATTTTCAATACACTACATGTTTTATAATATATATAGTTTTTTTAACTTTGTCAAAAAGCCAACAACTGCATATGTCATGTTTTCTATTTCTGATGTTGCAATTCAATTTTTTATGAATCTAATTTTTTGATGAAGTCTCAAGTTTTTTGGGGGCGGCTCTTTTTTGTGCATTTTGAGTCCAAGTATCTGTGTTTTCATTTATTGAAATAAAGCTGAAATATATATATATATATGATATAAGACGAAAACTTAAACAAAATTTGAAATGTTGCCTTGAAGTAATAAAACAGGTTTAAGGATGGGGTACTAAATAAATAAATATAAAATAAATAGAAATAGAAATATAAACAACTAAAACTATTACAAATGACAAAAGCACGTAAGAGAATTACCAAAACGTAAACTAAAATGAAAACAATATATATAAAAGCTAATTCAAAATGTTAATAAACACTAATGCTAAAATACCTCAGGTGTCTAGCTAATGCATAAATCTAAATGTTATATAATAATATATAATGCATAATGTGGGTTCCAGCACAATGGATATCTAACTGAAGCAAGGTTGTGGGTTTGCGTCCCACCAGTTTGGCGCAGTGGTTAAAGCTTATGGCTGGAAACTTCCGGATGCTGGTTTGGGTCATTAGCTATTAGCAAAGTGTCCTTGAGCAGGGCACTTAACTTCAGGTTACTCCGCAGGGATTGTGTCTGTAATAAGTGTACCGTAAATTCCTTTGGATAAAAGCATCTCCTTACCGGAACAATGCAGGATTGTTAATTCAAGTTTATTTGTATAGCACTTTCATAATACATATTTGTTTCAAAGCAGCTTTTAAAATGAGCAAGTTATCAATCATTTTTTTAGTTATAAAATGTGAATGATAAACCCTCAGAATATAGATGGGAATGAAACTGTAAAATTTGGTGTAAGTGCTGCTTAAAACTAATTCACAGAAAACAGCCTTTAAAAATGAGTACTGTAATTTCAAACTACAGATGCAAATAGATATAGCAGTGCAATAAAATAAAGATTTTATGTTTTCTTTACTAGTCTAAAAAAAACAACACATTATGAAAAGCCAATCTCAAAACTGACCAATGCATGAAAAAGAAAAGACTTGTACTTTACTTGTAGTGTCTTGCCTTAAGCAGACTCAACAAATGTTGACTTACAACTTGTGCTTGTAATATTGAACAGCTTTGTATGTTGATCCATCATTTGTCGAACTATCTCTTTCTTGCTTTCTTTCTTTCTCGTTTTTCAGTATGTGGCATGCGGATCCCTTCTGTTCATCCTCATCTCCATTTCCACCTTCTGCATGGAGACGCACGAAGCGTTCAACACCATCTACAACAAAACGGAGAACGTGACGGAGGGGAACGTGACGAGAGAGGAGATCGTGTACGAGGTGGTGACGGACAGATGGCTGATGTACGTGGAGGGAATGTGCGTGATCTGGTTCACCATCGAGGTGTTCACGCGCATCGTCTTCTGCCCTGACAAGGCCGAGTTCTTCAAGAGCATGCTGAACATCATCGACTTCGTGGCCATCCTTCCTTTCTACCTAGAGGTCAGTCTGAGCGGACTCTCTTCCAAAGCGGCAAAAGACGTGCTGGGCTTCCTGCGAGTGGTGCGCTTCGTCCGAATCCTGCGCATCTTCAAGCTTACGCGCCACTTCGTGGGCTTGCGTGTTCTCGGGCACACGCTTCGCGCAAGTACCAACGAGTTCCTCCTGCTCATCATCTTCCTTGCTCTCGGCGTCCTCATCTTCGCCACCATGATCTACTACGCCGAGAGGATAGGAGCCAGTCCGGACGACCCTACGGCAAGCAAGCACACCAACTTCAAGAACATCCCCATTGGTTTCTGGTGGGCCGTGGTGACCATGACCACTTTAGGCTATGGAGATATGTATCCGGAGACGTGGTCGGGCATGCTGGTGGGGGCGCTGTGTGCCCTCGCGGGGGTGCTGACTATTGCCATGCCCGTCCCCGTCATTGTGAACAACTTCGGCATGTATTACTCTCTGGCCATGGCCAAGCAGAAGCTGCCCAAAAAGAAGAACAAACACATCCCGCGAGCCCCGCAACCCGGCTCGCCCAATTACTGCAAGCCGGATGCCCTCGCCATGGCAACGGCCTCGCCCCAGAGGATCCTGGGTAACGTGCTGGGCGGCGTGCTGGGCTCGAGCGGGATGACGGGGGACTGTCCTCTAGCTCAGGAGGAGATCATAGAGATTAACAGAGGTGAGAGACTGAAGGGATACACACAGATTTTCATATTATGCACCAAAAAGTCTTTCATTGACTGGTTTTAAACTCATGGTGGATTCTGTAAAGTTTTGGATATAACAATATGGTCAAAAAAATGTAATGACAGTACTGATTTACAGTAGCTTGTTGGAGTGGTTGATATGACTAATATATCATAATATAGTTCATTAGCTTGAAATAAAAATATGGTTTATAAATATAATTTTTTATATTATATTGTATTATATTTCAATTTAATTTAATTTATAGTTATTTTAGTGTAGTTATTTTAATCCAACTGTAAAAATAATTATTTCTGTTGATTTCCAAGCTTGTATGTGTGTTTATGTATATGAACACAACAGAATTCAACAAAAATGTATATTTTATGTATATCTATATTTGTATTATTATTTTTGTAATATTTTATATTATATTACTTTTTATACTGTATAAATCTTCATATAAATCATTTATTATAAATATTATTTTATTTAAATTTTTTTGTTGTTGAAGAATTCAGTGAATGATTTATAAAATTTATGTCATATATCTAAAATGTTATTTTTATATTGTATTTCATTCTAGATATTATATATTAGATGTTTATATTTATGTATTTAATAACTTTTTAATAGCTATTAATAGCTTTTTTGGGATAAATCTGTGAATTTAATACTTTAAAAATGAAACTTAACTCAATTAAAGTGATATTTGAGTTAAAAATACAATTTAGCCACAACTATTAAAGACATCTGAAGTTAACCAAAAGATGTTTTGGAGCTGTGTGGGGAAAACACTTTTGGGTGCGTTGTTAAAACGCTACAATACAACATACTGTCCTTTACACTGTACAACAGCATGTGTATTTGTGAGTGTGAGTGTTTTTTTTCCAGATGGACTGCTCTTCCTGCTAATGTCATGTCTATTATCAATTATTCATTGTTTTTTAAATCTGGAAGTCTCTAATCGATCTATAGGGTCACTATAAGTTCTACATGCGTTCTAAAAGATACAGAACAGGAAAAGGGCAATGCATAAACCTTGCCTTGTATTTCATTTTTCTTAACTAGTCTATCTATATCATCAGCTTATCTTGTTGCCATTACATTATTTCCAGATATATGAGCTGCGTTGTAATTTCTTTGTTTAGGACATGATAGGTAGTTTCTCTTTTAGGAAGAGCAGCTACTAGCTACTGTTCTTTAACTTACATTTTACAAGCACATTTATTATTTGTTTACAGTATTATTTAGATATTATATATTATAGTTTTTATTAGTATTTTGATTCATATTATTATTCATTGATTCATGTTTTTTGTTTTATTTACAGTTAGTACTTTCAGTTTTTCAACTCAAACATTTCTAATTTTTATGTATTTTTATGTTATATATTTTATTTCAGCTTTATTTTATGTTGTGTTTATGTTTCAGTTCACAATAACAACCCTGTTAAAACAGTGATTAAATTCCTTATTCACTGCTACACTGCTAGATTTTAAATACTTTTTTTAGTGTTGATTTATGCACAAGCCATTGTTTTGAGTCATGTGAATCAGTTCTCAGAACTGGTGTGAATGATTTAATGATTCAGTTCTCAAATGACTCAAGGAAGGAACAAAAGTCATACAGGTTGAGAACGACATGACGTCTCTCTCTCTCTCTCTCTGTTCATTCGTGTCTCTCCTCAGACTCGAAGCAGAACGGTGACGCAGCCAGCGCCGCTCTAGCAAACGAGGACTGTCCAACAATCGATCAGGTTCTTAGTCCGGACGAGTGCAGCCCGGTGGGCCGAACACAAGAACGCCACCAGCAGGACAGAGCCTGCTTCCTCCTCAACACGCGAGAGTTTCGACCCACTGATGGGAATGTGCGGAAAGGTACGTTTTAGTGCTTCTGCATGCGGGTTACACACACACAGTCACACAGTCATGCAGTGAAGGGAACATCAGTCTCGGCCCAGTCCCAGTGTCTGTGACAGACGTACTAGATCTTACAGATCTAGTTGCACACACAAGCGTCCTTTAACAATTTTCCAAAAAACGAGTTTTACATGCCCATCTCACGCCATCTCTCTCGTGCCCATCTCTCCAAAAATACAGATTACATAACCACTGAACATCTCAGGGTGTTTTCACACTTGGTTGGTTTCAGGAGGCTGAGAGCATTTACAAGAAGTCTGGCTTAAATGTCAAGTCAAATCAAATTTATTTATATAGCGCTTTTTACAATACATTTTGTTTCAAAAGCACATTTACAGAAAATCATGATGTTAATGATTATATTTACACAATGCTTACATATTTACATCTTAATATCCTAATGTACAATAATATACTTGACATTTTGCCACAATGAACAATTTTTCAAAATGAAGCGAGTTTAACACTAGAAAAATATCTGAATAAATTCAAAGGGAAAACAAGATTTTAACAGATTGACAGATATTTTTTCTTGTTTTAAGCATAAACCCACTTAATTTTTGTCAGAAAACAAGAAGAGTAATAAACATTTTCTTGGTTTAGGAATTTTTAGACATCTATAATTGAACACAAGACTAAAATACAAAATAAGAAAATAATTTTTTGCAATGAAGTTATGAACTGCTGTTTGCAAATATATAAACCTTTTTTATATAAATATATAGCTTTTTTGTTTTAGGAATGTGAGGCTTTCACATTTGCACACATACACATATATGATTTACTATAAACTCATTCATTTTGAGACAATTTTAGCTCCATACTAAAGGACATGAGCAGCTTATGTTTTTTTAATTCAGATGTTAATTAAAAAAATTATGAATTAAAAAATTATAAATAATATTTAAATATACAGAATAAGAAAATAAATAAATACTAAACAAAATAAAGATTATTAAAAAATCATTTTTAACTACACACATAAAGGTCTTTCTTCACTTTTATGCAAAAATGAAGGCTGGAGCGTTTAAACTGACCAACTCTGGTGCATCAATTTGAGAAAATCATTACAGAAATGTATTAATATTTTATATTAGATTTAAATTTCTGAACCAATAGCGGCACCAAATTAAATTGCAAAAGTATTGAACAGATGGACCTGCCCCAAACTTAGACCACTGGTTGAGCCAATGCTAGTGAATGAGCATTAAATTGGGTCAAAAAGAGATCTGAACCCACTTTTTAGGCTAGAAACAATGTGAATACAAAGTGAACTGGTTTATTTTTTGGTCCACCTTAAGGAATCTACATTTGGTTAGTTTAGGATTCAAGTGTGAAAGCATCCTTAAAAACACACTGATATCTGAAAAATCTTTCTTTTAACTTTTTTCTTTTCCTCTTCTCTTTTTATCTTTTCTGCCTTTCTCTATTTATGTTTGGTGGTTCTTTGCATGTCTATTTTACTCAATTCTGTTTCTTTCCTGACATGCACTATCCTCTTTTTACCCTCTATTCTTCCATTCTCTCAATTTCTTTTTTCCATTGCATTTTCCTTGATCCTATTCATCTTTGTTTCAGTGACAAACCTTCTGTTACACACGACATCATTCCACAAAACTTTGTGACCCTGCACTGTCACCTCCAAAAATCTCCTCTCTGCCTATAAAAACACACAACAAATGACACAAACGATGTCCAATCCATGCATGCGCAATTCTCCAAACCCAGCTTTTCCCCGGTTGCCCTTTCCTCAACACAACCCAACTACATTTGGCACTGTTAGCATCAGGAGATCAGCCGACCATCCTCCCCTTACAGATGAATGAAATCAGAGGTAAAAACCAACCACAGAAATAGAAACATACTAAACATGCATGCACATAAAGTCCAATTGTTCAAACCATTTAGGACAGAAACAAAACACAAGCACAAGCACAATTACACCTGCATGGGTGTGTTGTTGTTGATGGGTGTAATGTTTCGTGTTGATGTTGTGTTGTTGTCCTAATAAACTGTCATTAGTTTCATCAGTTAAAGGAAATTAATCTAATGTTGTATAATGCTGCTGAATATGAGTTTGAGGTTGGGTTTCTGACAGATGCAGTTGCTCTCATATGTTTTTGCACCGCTTAAACTGCTGACCATCCCGCTCTGGACAGTCAACGATAAAAATGTCTGTGCACTGGGGAGAATTTATCACCCAGTTTAGCAGCAGACATGAAGAAAACTCAGCACAAATACAGTGAGACGGCACAAATCTCACTCTGAAAGTGCATTTGTCTGACACCCTGTGTAGAGGACAGATGACTAAGCGATTAAATGTATTTACTGGAATATTCCAGGTTATTTTCAACTTCTAAATCGTCCTTTTGAGGGAATTCAGATCAAGAAGAATCCTCTGCCGACCAGCTGCATGTGCACTGGACTGAACAATCATCCAACTGATAATGTATAATATGAAAAATAGATATTATTTAAAAGTTTAAAGATTGCGTTTTATTAGTTAATTGAAGTTAATCAAATAGGGCATAGGTCATCTAAATGTAAAAATAAAGAAAATGAGCACTAATTAAATATTCCATTTTGACTGATACTAATAAATTATGATAGTTATGATAGGTTACCCGCTAGGCTTCTGTTGTTATTGTATGACTGTAAAATTGTTAGGTTGAAAATAACCTGGAATGTTTAAAGATGCTTTAAAGTGTTGTATAAACGTACCGTCTCACGAAGAGAGCAGAAACCCAATCTTTACTCGGACGTATTCAGGTCTGTTACACTAACCTAATACTCTCTATAGAGTATTACATGTATGAGGGACAAAGTTGGACACTGTAGAGTTTGTGTAACAAAGATTGTTTTCAATGTCATATGAGATCCACTGCAATTACAATTGGAACTGCAGCTGCTGCAGTGTGTGTGTGTGTGTGTTTTCAGTGGGATCTCACACGCTCTGTATTGTCTTTTTCTTCAGGTTGTGTCATATCCCGCGTTTGTATGTTGGCTTCTTCATATATTCTCTCACTGTTCTACTGTCTCCCCCCGTCCTCCTCCTCCTCCTCGCTGTGTGTGCGTGCGTGCGTGCGCGCGTGTATTGTGTTTGTTGTGACGTCGCTTATTGTGTTTTCAATGTGTTTCCCTCACTCCACCAGTGACCTTTAACCCTGGTGCGATGGAGGACGCGCACCGAGGCAACGCTTAAAACTGCACACACATAGAAAACAGACTCAAAGGTTGTTAAGGTGTTCGCTGTGCCGAGTTGAGTCACACCAGGGTTAAATGTCAGGGGTCGATAGAGGTCAAGATGAATTCAAATGAGCACGAGTTCATGGTTCTGTGCCATGCTGCGAACACCGCATTCACTCCAAAAAAATACCTAGGCCCAAATTTAAGATTTATGTATTTGAATTGCATAAAATCCAGTCTGATTACACAGTTTGAACGTAAACAATCTAATAACATTAATGTGATGCATGAAACACGTAAGATTTCTGCACTCAAAAAACATTTTGCACCTGTTTGATTCAAGGTTATTAACCGTTAACCAAAACAGAAATTAAAACTATAAATAAATGTTGCTACTTGAAATAAAGCTTAACTGAAATAGAATAAAATATAAAAAATTCAATTTATTATATTTCAGCTAGTTGTCAAGGCAGCATTGCTCATTTTATTTAGTTTAGTCTGTGTGTATGTGGGTGTAAATTTGCATTTAATAATTTTAGTTTAACTGTAAATACTAAAATATCTCAAATTAAATATACTAAAATTAATAAACAAAAATTACTACAAGATTATTTTAATTATTAATTAAACAATAAAAACACAACAAAATTACTAAAACTGTAACTACTTAAACTACTTAACTATTTAAAACAAAATAGACAAATAAAATCTAATTTAAAATATTAACAAATACTATATCAATGATAATAAAATAGCACTGTTTTGGTTTTATTCAAACATTAATGCTTTTATTCAAATGACTTAACATCAATTCATTGTTAAAAAATGTAATTTATTCTGTTAAAACAGATTAACATGGTTATGGCTAGCTGTAGATGTATGAGATTAAAACACTTTGAATGTATTGATAATAAGTATTTAAACCTGGTTATTGTATATTTAAAACATATTCAGTTTATTAGTACTTTTTACAGAAATCCTACCAGTTTCATGAATGTATGACTGACAAATATGCATCACATTAAGTTTATTAGTTTGTTTGTTGAAACTGGATGGAAATTTTTATTGCAGTTCAAATACACAAACCTTAAATGTAGGCCTAAATATTTCGTGTTTTTTTGCTGCAAGTTGCGACACTTTGAAGCTTTTAGAAAGCGATAGGGAGCTCGGGAAAAACCACAGGCAGATGAAGAAAAGAGTGTTTATGTGTGGCACAGTCCTATGAATCTGCTCATACGACCTCAACCTGCTTCCTAGCGTAGCCGGAAACTCCTACATGTGTGCGACGGTCTGTGTGTGTGTGTGTGTGTGTGTGTGTGTGTGTGCTGTGTAACTGACGTCTGACTGACTGGTTGACAGACAGACACTGGGATATTTGGACAGACTCAAAGACAGACTGACGTTGAGAAGGTAAGAACGAACCGGGGTAAAAGCCGAGCCCACGTTCCCCCAGGCATTTATCCTGGGCTTCAGCAAGGCATCGTCTCCTGGAAGGCAGTCACTCTCAGTCACTTTAACATCCAGAGCACCTATAGACACAGAAATAACATTATAACAAACATCCAGTGTCTGTTGAGGATATGTGTATGTGTGAGTTCTGCTATATGGCTAAAGCATCTTCTTAACTGTCTCTACCTAAACTACCATCCGGGCTCTGTTACAAAACCTAGTGAGCAAACATCTACATATACTGTAGTATAGACCATATAAAACAGATACATTAGTTTCATAGTTTCACATTTTTACCTGACATTAGAAATTAAAACGAAACC